TGTGGCTAAAGGCCAGACTTCTACTGTGCAGACTGGAGCTGGGGTCCGAGACCAAGGTGCCAGCGCCCCGCTCCGTGCGAAGCTTTCCTGGGCGACAGGCGCTGCCTCTCACTGTCCTCACAGGGCGAGAGTGAGCTCGGGCTCTTCCTCTTCTTATAGGTGCTAAGCCTATAGTGCCTGACGGCGCTCCGGCCCTCCCGCCGTGTGTATGTGACTCAGGCCTCAGCCTCCCAACCCCTCCCCCGTGCGGGCAGCGGCTGGCCTGAACACCGCGGATGAAACAGTGACGTGGAAGGAGAGGGCTCCCTGTGCTCATGTATTCATCTAAATCAATTCACCCCAAAGAACCACCCCAGATCCATCTCATTAGAGGTAGATTTTGGGAAAAGAGACATTCAGTCTGTGACAACAGCAAACCTTCCTAATGGCCTGAAAGCCGTTGGAGTCCCCAGGCCCCTTGGTTGTCCTGCTGGAACATGGTGGCACGGGGACCCCTGGTCGCTAGATCAGGGCCTTGGGCCAGACCTCTGCCCTTTCTCTCCACGCCATCCCTCACTATGGGAGACCATGTGGTCACTTGCAAGCTCAGTCTACAGCAAGCATGTCAAACTCGAGGCCCGCGGGCCACAGGCCTCGTTTATTGGCCCGTGTCAGCCTTTAAGTTTGACATGCTTGGTCTGCAGCCTTAGAGACAGTGGCCTCTTAAGCACCCAGTGGGCCTACAATTGAGCAGAGAAAAGGCCTGATCTGGCCAGGAAGCAGCCGGAAGCATTTATGCACAGAGTGGTGGGTCCTTGTGGAAGGATGGGGTGTGGGCTCCCGGCAGTGAGGGGAGCCTGCCTGGGTCCTCAGAGGCTGCTCTTGCTCAGGCTTAAGGAGGGTGAGACAGCACCCACCGCTGCTCCGCATTCATGCAGTTAAGCTTCCTAGGGGTGACTCTGCCAGGTGCAGGCCTGGAGCTGGGGCAGGCCCTTCGAGCCCACCCAGTGCTGGTTAAAGTTCAGCCTAGGGCCCGGCCCATGGGGACTGTGTTTTGGAAGTTGTGGCTTGGGGTTGGGGCAGGGGCACTTGGACCAGAACCCCTGGTGATGCAGTGGCCTGTGGTCAGAGGACTGCTGTGGGGAGAGGGGGTACCAGAGCCACCCCAAAGGTCTGGTGGGGAGGCACACGCTGTGAGTTTTGACTTCACTGAATTATACGGGGAATCACAGGTGCATTCAGAAGCACAAGTCATTCTGGGCAGGTCCCAGCTCCCAGTCACTCACACTTCAGAGGCAGGTGAGTCCCTCTGGACCCTGAGATGTGTTCGCGTGCATGTGTGTATATGTGTGTGTGTGTGGGGGGGGTGCACATATACATGCATATATGTACACATGTGTACTAGTATATGCTTTATTTAAATACTGTGGCTGGAGTAACGAGGGAGTGTGAAGTCTGAGCCCAACGTGCCCTCTGGATCAGAGGGGATGTTTCACAGCGATGACCACATTCCCACGTCCCTGACCATGGCCAGGACCCTCAGGCGTGAAGGCAGATGTGGGGAGAGCCGGGGAGCTGTGTGGGAAGAACACACTGTCTCGGGCAGTCTGAGCGCTGCTTACTCCTCTACCCCAGCCTTGAGTTTATTTTTTCCAACTCAAGGAGTCTCTGGGTCACCCAGTGTGTTCAGAAAAGAGACCTAGTAATTAATTACCAACACACACACACACACACACACACACATACCATAGGCTCTGATATGCTGGAGCGGGTAGGACACACACACTTCTCCTGCATGTCATGTGCCTGTGGGCGTGCAGGCATCAAAAACATACACTAAGCGACAATATTGGCTCATTGGGCTTGCACACCCATAGTTATGATGCTTCCAAGCATTTTTACCGAAAACATCTTTGCTGCACAACTAATTGTCTGAAAGACAATTTCACCTCAAAAGACAAAATAATGGCTGACGGTTGGGCTTACACTTGGCTGGCAATGTTGTCAGTTTGGTTTCACCTCTCCGTTGACGGAGCTCCGGCCCTCCCGCCATGTTTATGTGACACAGGCCTCAGCCTCCCAATGTCTCCCCAGTGGGGGCGGCGGCCGGCCTGAACACCGCGGATGAAACAGTGACGTGGAAGGAGAGGGCTCCCTGTGCCGGACCATGGCCACGTGCCTGTTTGCAGATCTTCCGTGAGCAGCCGCCTCCCAGCCCCAGCCCAAGGTCAGGAGCCGCACAGATAGGACACGGGTGGCTGCTGACTCAAGCAGCCTGTGTGAACTTTGACTATCAAGTTGGCATTGATGTTTTAAATGTCTTCTTAATTTTAATTAATTTTCATGTTTCATTATGTCCTTTTTAATATCCCCCTTTAATTTTAGAAGTTTATCTTTTTTAGTTTATCTTTTAGGGTGAAATTGCTTTATGTCCTATTAGTTGTGTGGTGAAAATGCTTGCAACCAGATATTTATGACAAAAATGCTTAAGGTGGAAATAATAACACGATTTATGATGCGCACACGTCGACTTAGTTTGAGACTTAGTTCACACCCCCATGCTCCATGCACATTTCAGAATCGGATTGAAAAATTGCACGGCTAAGTAAGCGTAATGAATTGACTTACTAAATTAGGTGTGTGTGTTGGGGGGGGGGGGTAGTAATTAGAAAAAAACACCCAGAAAGAATGGTTAAAAAAGAACTTTGACCAAAAGGCATAGCAGCCAAGGCTGCAGATGTGAGAGAACAGCATGCCCTGGGCCCACTCCGTGCCCACCGCCCTGGCACACTCGTCTCCTGCCTACACTCCCTCCCCTGTAATGGGTGGGCAACGGGCCGCGCCCCTTTACTAGGGACTAGTTAATGGTGTGCTCGTCTTCGTTGTGTTGTCACCCTGTCCTGACGCACTGAGGTATCAGAGAACTGCCGTGGGAGGAAGGTGAACAGGTGGGCGCAGCCACAGTCACTGCTGAGCCAGCAGAAAGCTCCACAGCCCTCGGGGCAGCGGCCCCCGGCTGGGGGTGGGGGTGAGGGTGGGAGATGGGGGGCTTGGCGGGTGCTGACTCCAAGTCAGGCCCTGGGGCTCAGGCATCACGGGACATCCTGTTCCACTGGATTTGCCAGGACGCAGACTGTCACCGAGAGGGGGCGGGAAGGGCTGGGAAGCAGGGTGCGTGCTGCTGCTGGCTGAGCAGGGACCTGCATCCACAGAAGGGCACACAGGGAGGGAAGGCTGAGCGGTGGTCGCGGAGGTCCCCAGGGGTCATGTCTGAAAGCACTTGGAGTGGATACCATGTCCTGAGGCCACAGAAGGCCACGTCCTCTCAGCTGATGTCATGACCCCTGTCAGCAGCCTGCTCCCTGGGTGCTGGTCCTCTCCCAGGACAAGGGTGAGTGGCGGGTGGCAACTTGAACCTATTGCCTCAGGCTCCAGGCTGTGAGGAGGGCCTCCTGGAGGAGACCTCCAGGTCAATGTGAGCCTGTGGGCCGGAGCCATGGCTTCCAGGCGTCGGCACACACGCTGTGAGGGGATGAGGACAGGTTGCTTGGAAACGGGACGCTGGTGGCTGGTGCCTGCCTGCTTTACAGAAGCCGCAGAGGCCGTGGTGGGAAGAGCAGGAGCAGCTTCCATTTCCGGAGAGGAGGTGGGACGGGCAAGGGACGGGGCCAGGTGCCTGGGGTGCTGCCTGGGGGCCCGGCTGTCTGCTGCTCTGGGAGCCGCGGGGTGACCCTGCACACAGCCCGAGGACTGGGAGGATGCCTCCCGCTCTGTCAGAGTCTTGCGATGGGACTGCAGCTGCGATAAGCAAGGCTGCCACAGCCGGCCTCGGGGACAGGCCGCAGGGCTCCCGCGACGCACCTCTGCCGGCGAGACCCCCTCCCGCCGAGGCCTGCGGGCCAGCGGACGCCCTGCCCTGGGACACGGCACTGGCCTGAGAGCCGGCACTGGGCGACTGGCTGGGGAGCCCGATGGCTCTACTGCCACTCAAGGCACTTGGCCACCTCGCCCTCCTTAGCTGTAAGACAGCACGCACGGGGGTAAACACAGAGGTGGCGCTTGCTTCCATTTATAAAGTCACTGCAGGTAAGTCTGACTGCGCAGACAGGACGGGCAACGTGCCAGATCGTTTCCTTTTTGGGGGGATTTTGTGTTGAGGTTATTTGACTAATAACATGACAGCGGTTTCAGATGTTTAACGAAAGAATTCTCTCTCCTCACACACTGTGAAAGGATCAGTGAGGCCCGTGCCACCCGCCCCCACGCCTGGTACACATTTTCCTGTGACGATGGCTCTTTCCTAATGTCTATATCTTGATAAGTATAGTTCAGAAGCAAGGGCTACTCCCAAGGGTGTCTTTCACACTGTGTGGTTATAAGTATTGTGAAACCAATTTAGTGGAGTGTGATTAGTAGTTTTTAAAAGTGAGATAGAATGAACCAAAAATGTTAGAGTGCCCTCTGGTTGCTTCCCATCCAGCGTAGAATCCAAGATGCTCTGCACTCCACCCTGCTCGGCCCTGCGCCCTCTCTGGTGTCCCCGAGCCCCTGCCTCTCACCCCCCCCTCCACCAGGCCGCCCTCACGCTGCCTCCCACAGGGGGCTTTCCCACGCCACGCCCGCGGGCTGCCCTCCCTGCTCCCCGACCCATGCCCAGGAGTCACCTCCCCTGAGGGTCGCTCTGACCTTGCTCCTCCCTGTGCCTCCTGTAGCCCCGACGCATGTCTCTGTGAGAGTCATCTGAGAGGTCTGGGCGGTCTGTCCCTTGTTAGGTCACCAGCTCCCCTGGGCAGGGATATTGGTTCTCTGCCCTCTGCCCAGCAACTAGAATGAGGCTCGGTGCACAGAAGGTGCCCAATAAACACTTGTCATTATTGTAGAATGAATGAAAATTGAAGTTGGTATTCATCCCTATGCCACTGAGTTGTGGTGAAATCAAATCAAACAATCCTAACCCAGTGCCTAGAACACAGTTAGCACTAAATACACTCTAGTATGGTACTGTTTTAATTCCTCTGAAATTTAAGCCATTCACTATTTTTGACATTTTAAAACATCTTCCTGGAAAAGAAATACACCCTGTGTTCCCGGCGAGCAGAGTTTCTGAGTTGGAATCCTGGTACTTTTAAAGCTGAGATGGGCCATGTAGGTGCCGGGAGGAGGCGCGAGTGGACTTCGGGTGCGGATGCAGCCTCCGCGGCACCCAGGAGCCAGGGGGTTCCGTGCCGTCGGCACTTGGCACTTCTGTGGTCACGGGAGCGTCCCATCTCAGAGTTCTTTCTGAAGACCTAAGGCGGGAGGCATTCTGAGTAGGTGTCGAATATTTTCAGATCCACACATTCCTTGGGGTCCCCAGCTTCAGGTTCAGAGTGCTGCACGTTCCCTATTTGGGAAGGATTTCGGGAGAGGCATCCCTGGATGCCAGGAGCTGCCCGAAGTCACCAGAGAAAAATGTACCTCCCTGTGCCAGCTTAATAATAGCAGCACTTGGCAGGCACACGTTCCTGCTAAATTTAACTGCGGTCTCAGGGGAGGAGGCGTTTGCCTGCGATGAGCGGGGGACACCAAGGAATCGGAGGAAGGAACCCCAGGTGCCCAGCGCACCTGGCAGGAACACTCGGTCCCACTCAGGGTCGGGCCAAACTGTTCCTTAAAATCAGCTTCCCAATGCCTCCCGGCCCCGGGGGGGCGAACTGAGCACTAGAGACAGGAACTGTTTCTCAGGTTGACCTGGTGGGTGTGTGTGATGGACAGACATCAGGACAGGGTCCTGCGGCAGAATCACCCCCGGTGCAGTCCGCACCCTGTTACTCTACGCAGAAGTGTGTGTGTGTGTGTGTGTGTGTGTGTGTGTGTGTGTGTGTGAGAGAGAGAGAGAGAGAGAGAGAGAGAGAGAGAGAGAGAGAGAGAGAGGGAGAGAGGGAGAACCCAAGGACGAGCTCAGCTCTTAGCTTCCTGCTAAAACTTTGGGGGAAATATTCCTAGGGCAGCTGGAAAACACGCTTCTCTATGCTGTACAGCTAAACTAATACAAACTAATATTGAATGTAACTGTAATTGAATGTGTTTAAAGTTAAAATAAAAGAAAACACGCGGTGTTCTGTCTGTTCCCGTTGCTCTTGCGCTCTTTGGTGTGTTTGCCCTGTCGTCCTGTCCCCCAGGTTTCACGCCTGTGCTGTGTTGTTTGGTCACGTGCGTACCAGGCGCCAGTGCTAAGCGCTTACAGTTGTAATTGCTGCTAATTCTCTAGAAGTTCTGTGAGATCAGAACTAGTAAGTTCATTTCACAGATGTAGAAAGTGAGGCATTCCCGCAGTTCCACACCCAGGAAGAAGGGGAGCCAGTGCTCCCACTCCAGCCTCTGAGGCCGGAGCCGCTCACAGCCCTGCGAGGACCCAGGGGCCCCTCCAGGAGGCTGAGTGTGGACACCCATAAGGGCCTGCTTCTCCCTCCCCTCCCCTCTTTCTCATCTCTAGAGCTTGAGGGTGTGTGCCAAGGTTCTGGGAAGCGGGCGCCTACATGTTTATTTTGGAATTGCCCCTTGGGAAGTTATGGGGAACCCACGGCTATTCTGAAGGATTGGTTTGCATCTGTGCCAGTGAGCAGATGTGTGGGGAGACTGAAGGGTTGCCATGGGCTGTCCCAGGCTCCTGAGAAATGGAAGGACATCCTGGGGAGCCTGGGCCCCTGTGATGAAGAGACCAGGCGCACACCCCGATGCGGCTGTCGGCAGGGAGAGAGCATGGGCGCTCAGGCCCTGGTTCTTCCGGTGGTGACAAGCCCTGGGACACTGTGAGAGAGAAAGAGGGGATCCTACTCCCTGGTGTCCACGCATGGGTCTTAGCTGAAGCAGTGCTGGGCAGGCCCTGTGGCAAGTGCTCTTTCCACACTTGGTGGTTTGAGCATCACCGTTCACACCTGACCTGGGCGTTCCACATGCCCCAGGACATAGTCCGGGTTGCTGTAGCGGCCGCGAGGCAGACTGCGCTTTGGTCCTGGGTAGTGGGTCTCCTGTACTCAGTGGGACAGAGAGCTCCAGTAGCGAGTCCTGTGGATGGACACTCCTGGAGCACTCGGTGCACTTGGGGGAGGAGGGGGGTGGCCAGGCCCTTCCTGGCAGGGAGCAGCTCACACATGCTGTGGTCTTGCTGGGGGCACGGAGTGAATACCGGCCTGATCCTGTGGGCACTGCCCGAGGCGTGAGCTCCCATTGGATCGCTCAGAGTTTCCTGGGCTCTGCCTCACCATATGTCAGTGCCTCCCGCACAGGCTCGCGGGCCACCCACCAGTCTTCCTTGAGCCTGGTCTGTGCCCGGCAGAGCTGTAGGCCTGGTGTACAGCTGTGAGCAGACAGCAAAGGCCCAGCACAGGCAGCTGACCTCTGGTGTTGGGTTGGCACATGTTTTTCATAAATATTTTTGGCTGGGGACTGTGGTCTCGGCTGCGGTTGTGTGTGTGTGCAAACATGCGCACACCGCCCGCCCCTGGGCTTGGCCCAGGCCATCGCGTGCTGCTCCTGCTCCAGGAAACAAGGTGGGAAAAGACTTTCTATGTCCAAGCTCTGCCAAGTGTGTTTTTCTAATACCTTTAAGCACATCCACCCCAGGGCGGACTTCAGAGCAACGTGCCAGCCCTGTCCCTGGCATCCTGCAGGGGCGGTCAGAATAGCAGGTGTGGCTGGAAGGCACCTCTGCTATAGGCTGAGCCATCCTGTCCCAAACCCACCTGTTGGAGTCCTGGCCCCCAGCACCTGAGCGTGGGACTGAGTTTGAAGGCGGGGCCTCACAGAGGGGAACTGAGGTTACCTGAGTTGTTAGGGTGGGTCCGAACTGAAGGTGACTGGTGTTTCAGAAGCAGAGGAGATTAGGACACAAGCACTGCAGAGGGAGTACCTCCCGAGGACACAGGGAGGGGCATCTACATGCCGGAGGTGGGGAGGTGGGGGGCGGAGGAGAAGGGAGGCCGCCTTTGACCCCTTGGCCTCAGGCTGCCAGCCTCCAGGGCTGTGAGAGGACAAAGGCCTGTGGGCACCCTGCCTGCGGGGTTACAGCAGAACTGGCACAGGATAGGCCCAGCCCCCAGGCCGTGAATGGCTCCGCCCCTCCCGTGTCCCTCCAGCCCCAGATGGGCAGCAGTCCTACCTGCTGAGCAGCTCCTGCCTGAAGGTGAGGGTTTAGAGAAAGAAAGGGGTTTGTCAGTGGAGACTGCCCCTCCCAGATTCCTTACGGGGAGCATGCAGGGGAGCAGGCATTAGAGCCACTGGGCAGGAGGCAGTTACTGGCTTCCTGCAGTCACCTTGGGGGCCTGGGAAGGCTCCTGTGGCCGACACGCTGGAGCTGGGTCCTGGGTGGGGATCCGGTTCTGAACTCTGGAGTCGGTAGGAAAGCAAGCAGCTGTCTGTCCTGGTGCGGCTTCCAGCCCAGCGCTCACAGCAGCTGCATGACTGTCACAAAGAAATACACTTGAAGTTTGGGGGCGTACAAGAGAATCAAGAACTCTGAACATTCCCACTCCAACCCTGGGAGTCCCTCTGGGTGTTTGCTTCTGAGGCCGCGGGGCCCAGCCCAGAGTTCCTGTCAGACTCAGGAGCCCTGCCGCCTTCCCCACACCCTGGCCCTTAGCAGGGGTGGGCCAAGTCAAGGACCAATCCAGGCAGGATGGGGGGATGCCTCCCCACCCCATCTGACTGGGTGAGGATGAGCAGGTTGGCCATCCCCGATGGCTCTCAACCTCCTGCCACCCGGTGCTGGCACATCCAGGGCCAGTCCCTCCGCCTGGACGCCCATGTGACAGTGACTGCAGCAGCTCAGGGCAGGGACCTGTCCCAGTTAAGGTGGACTGCCCGGCCTCTTGGAGGCGTGACCTGCATAATGGGAGGAGCCTTGCTGGTTTTAAGGGAAGGGGGTGACTGCTGAGCTCCAGGGCCTTTACACACGCTGTTAAAAATATCTCATTCAGAATTGAAGTGCCAAGTTTCCTAACTTAAATTTAGAATTTTAAGTAAAAGGGTTAGTGGGACTCGCCATCGGAAGGCCTTGCACCAATTATTCGCAGTGGTCTGCAGGGCCAGGGGCCTGAAGGCACCACGAGGTGGGGAGGGGCTGCAGGCCGGCCTGGAGCTGGGGTGTTGCCCAGGCCCTCGCCCACCCCCAGGCTGGCCAGGAGGAGGCAGGGTTAGCCCACTCCACCCACCCTGCACCCACACCTAGAAGCCTGGTGGGGCTGTGGAGGCCGTGATGTCTGAGCAGGTCTAGAGCGGCCTGGAGACAATGCTGGGCATCTGAAGGCCACGGAGGTCTTGAAGAGGCCTGCAGTGGTGGAGGGCATGACAGGACCCACTGCCGCGGCTTCACTGTGACCTCTGGCTCTCCGGCAAAGGGACCTGCCAGGGTTCTGGTGGGTCTGTGGCAAGGAGGGCTGGAGAGCACGCCGACTGGGATAGGGATAGGCTTGCCCCTCCTGGGCCTCCCGGGCCCCTTCACTGAGCCTGCCCCCCTGTCCCGCGCTGAACTGGGCATTGGGAGACAAGCCAGAGCACACGGGTTGCAGCTTTGCCCTTCAGGGTTTTGTGGAAATAACTTTCTGCAGACAGGCCCGGCCAGGCACAGGGCGTGTTTTGTGCAGAAACAATGGTTGCATTTTCCTTGGGAATCAGCCTCGGTTACCAGGCAGCTTTGGGCCGGCAAGGCCTCCCAGGGCAGAGGCCTGCACACGGGCTGACTCCAGCGCCCTGTCTGTGAGGAAGAGAAACGGGGACCCACCTGCGAGCACCCACTTGGAAGGAGCAGGCGGTGCTGGCAGGAGCGGCAACCGGGAGCCAGGGAAGCGGGCCGTCGAGGGGCTGCCCCAGCGAAGCTGAGCGCCAGCTCTCAGTGTTGGTTTGCCAGCTCCAGAAGGTTGCTCCTGCTCTCTCTTCCTATGTTCACCCAAGTGCACATGCTCCAGTGAAAAGAGAAGGAGAGGATCTTAGTGTTAGAGCTGTTCTGACCCCCACCTCTGTTCCACCAGAGGCGACTTCCTGGGAAGGCCCTGGTTTTATTCCTCCCGCACTTACCTCCACATAATCGTCTTACGTTAGTTTGTCCTTAGTTACACTTTACGGCACCACCATTCTTCTCATTCATCCATGTAGAGGATTCCTCTGGTTTTAATTTTGTCCCATTTATTTCTAGCTCCTTGCTCCCTTTTAAATCTCAGCACAAGGTTTTGCATGCGCCTGTCTCGAAGACAAACATCCTCTTGTAAAATTTGTGCCTTTAAATCTGTGAGGCACATGGACTGAGTGTGCTAGCTCCATTCTGCCTCTTACCCTGTGGCAATGAGTGTCCCGGTCAGGGTCAGCGCCACACCGGCTCCTCGGTACTCTGGTTTGCTGCTTCCAACTGCTGCAGCTGCTGTCCGGCTGCATGCCCATACCTCACCAATCTCAGCCACTCAGCCACGAATCCTCAGCCACCTTCCCATGGACGTGTGGTGGGGTCTCTGGGGTAGACCCACAGTATGGAATTTCTAGCTCATCAGTAATACACATGCTGGCTTTACTGAGAGCTACCTGGCCATGCAAGTTCATAGGTGGGCTTTGCATGTGATCATGATGATTCCCATCTCCCCATCTCCCCAGACCTTTCTTTGGTTTCAATCAGTTTGCTAGTTTTGCCAACCTAAGGTAAAAATAGATCTATAGATCTAAAATATGTGTAGATATAGATACAGAGGGAGATGGATGGGGGGAAGGAGGAAGGGAGAGAGAGCTCACTGCTTTTATAATTTGCATATCTCTGATTTATAGTGATACTAGAGGCCTGGTGCACGACATTCGTGCACTGGGGGGAGGGGGGTGTCCCTCAGCCTGGCCTGCGCCCTCTCACAGTCCAGGACCCCTCAGGGGATGTCTGTCTGCTGGCCGAGGCCCGACCCCTCAGGAGGGATCGGGCCTGGGATCCGGCCTAGGATCAGGCCTAAGCTGGCAGCCAGACACCCCTCTCGCAATCCAGGACCCCTCACTCCTTACCACCCACCTGCAGCAGAGGCAGGAGACGCTCCTGCCACAGCCACTGAACCCGCCAGCCACAAGCCTGGTTTCTGGCTGAGCAGTGCTCCCCCTGTGGGAGCACACTGACCAACAGGGGGAAGCTCCTGCATTTAATGTTTGCCCCCTGGTGGTCAGTGAGCCTCATAGCAATTGGTCATTCCACCATTTGGTCGATTTGCATATTAGGGTCTTATTATATAGGATGAGCATCTCTTCATGTACTTGTTGGCATGTGCTATCCATTTATGCATTGCCTACTTTTACCATCTGCCCATTTGTAGAAGCCCTTGTACATTCCAGGTACACGTGGCCAGTGTCTGTATCGCCAATATCTGCTGCCATGTTATGCACAGACAGACTGTTAGGGTTACTGCTGGACTCTTTGAGCACGTGGATCCCAGGTGGATGAAAGGAACAGGGAAAAACGTCTCCTTTGTGGCTGTTGATGGGGTACAATTTACAGGTAACCATTAGCTTGAGCTTAGTCATCACATTATTCAACTCGTGTATCTCTGCTCATTTTATCTATCTGTTTTGAGAAGGGTAGTATATTAATTTACCATATAGCCCATTGTTTTCAGGCTATCATTCAATGCCCATATATAATTTCTTTAACATTTTATTTTGAGATTGTAGATTGAATGCAGTTATAAGAGTTAATACAAATCCATTTATCCTTCACTCAATTTTCCCTAATCTTGCAAAACTATTGTAGAATATTACCAATGGGAAACTTATATTGAAGCAATCCTTTGCCCTTATTCAGATTTTATCAGTTTTACAAGTTGTGTCCGCGCACGTGTGTGTGTGTGTGTGTGTGTGTGTGTGCGTGTGTGTGTGGTGGTGGTGAGGGGGAACCAGAGCATCAGCAGCTTCCACCTGGTGGGGGTGAAGGGGCAGCTGCCCGCTCAGTCCTGGGCTGCTGTCTGGGGCAACTGAGGTGCCACCTCCTGCTCCTGTGAGGAGACCCGGGCGCTGCCTCGTGCGTTTGCTGAAGGTGAGTGAGGGGGAGGGTCAGCTCCCAGCTGTGGCTGTGGCTGTCCGCGTGGACGCTAGATTCTACCCAGCGCCTCTCGGCGTTCGCTCTGGATTATTACAAGTGACCCTTTCCCTGCGCTCAGTTTGCCAGAACAAGTTCATTGCTACGTCTCAGTGCGACTTCTCTCTGTCACCCAGTTCTTCTTGCTGTAGGACCTCTTTCAAGACTTTTCAAAGGGGTCCCTTCAGCGCGAAGATCTGAGGTCACACACTTCTAGGGCCACCCTTTTGCCTTTCCACGTGAGCTAGAATGCAGCTGAACATAAACATAAACATAAACATAAACATAAACATAAACATAAACATAAACATAAACATAAACATAGACAGAAACTTGTGAAGTTCTTTCCTTCACTCACTGAGGAGAGCGGTTCTCGAGGCTCGGGCTCCACACCGCGGCAGAGGCGATGACACTGGCGCCTGGTGCTTCCTCTGTGGGAAACGATTAGCCCCTCCTCACTGAGCGTTTTGGAATGTTTCTTTGTCTCTGCGGTTGTTAATATCGCTGTAATGATTTTACTGGGGATCTTTTTCTTATCTATCTTTTGATACATGGTTAGGCCTTTCAACTTGAAGACTTTCATCCTTTGTTAATTTAGTCAAATTTAATTTCTCCCAATAATTCTTCCCCTCTGCATATTTCCTGTTGTTAGACTTGCAGTGTGTAAATATTATGTGGCTCATTATGCCGATCCCATTTATTAACTTTTATATGGATTTTCTATCTCCACCCGCCAGGCCCCTGGGTCCTCCAGCTCGCACCCCCTGAGGCCTCCGGAGCGGCTCTCTCCCCGTCCTCCCCTGACACGTGTCCTCTCCAGCCACAGCCCGGCAACAACTAACCCCGTGTTTCAAGTTTTTTAACGCATGTTTTTCATGCTTAGTATTTCTAATTGGTTCTTCTTTAAAACTTCCTCTGTCCTTATTTCATGCCAGCAATATCGTCTCTCTTCTCTTCGAGCTTATGTATTACATTTAAGTCCATCACCATCCGAGTCTATGAATTCTCCACCGGATGCAGGTGGCCTGTTACTGCTCTGTTCTCCTCAGTTGTGCCCTCTCTCCCTCCAGATTTCCAGGGGAAAACTACCCTGACTAACAGTACAGGTGGGCAGTAATAGGTTTACAGTTGTGAGGACCAGAAACACAGTTCATTCTTGTATCAGAATTATTTTCCATGAGAGCAGCTGTAAACCTACTTTTGCCCTCCCTGTATTTGTCTAGGCCCTAGACTCCAGGGAGAATGGCGGAAGCCCAGGTTCCGGCTTTGCCCATTTTGGTGATTTTACAAAGGAGCCACATGCTCCTTCGAGGAGGGGTGTGAGTGTTAGGGAGCCCTGCCATCTACCCAGACCCAGACCCTCTTTACCCTGTATTTTGATTGTGATCCTGTAAGGCTTGGCGTAAACGGGATGAAACAGGGCAAAACAAGATTCAATTCTCTCTGGACAGTGAGGCAACTGTGTCCCCAGATTGTTCTCTGGTCTCAGCCCCTGGTTCTCTGCGTGAACGCTCTGTCCTCACACACCCGGGCGCTGCCTGCTGCCCGCGCCGGGCCGTCCACAGTTTTTACAGTGCATCTCAGTCTCTGCACGCGCTGCCCAGCCTCGAACCCGGGCTCCACGCAGCCCCGTGAAACATGGGGGACGATGGGGAGGGGCTTGCTCATTTGGGCCTTAGGACCATCAGCCACTTTGCTTCAATCTGTTGCAGTTGGACAG